CTCAACCCAAAAGCCTTCGCTTGCGAGATTCTAAAAGAGTTCATGGGATTCGTGACAGGGGTCCGACGTGTCGTTAATGCAGTTGTCTTACCCATAGGACATTGCAAGTGTGCTATAGCAGTTTGTAGGGCATTATAGGGCTGCAAGTGTTCACTTCAGGCTTGCATGTCTGGGAGTTCAGGCAGTTTTTCGTGTTGCATATATCTATCTATAATAAGAATATTATAAATAGTAACAACAGCAATAATAATAATAACAACTTATGTGCATACATACGTACACACAGAGACACATATGTGCGGAAAGTCTCCGCCACGACGCCCTCTGCCAGGCAGAGAAGAGGGTCTATGCACGCTCTTGGGCTGCAGCTGGAGGACAGAGTAACACCCCCAAGCCGTGAAGTGCCAGAGCCTACGGTTAATATAGGTGCCCTAATAATTAGAATAGGGCTGAGGAGTATCTTATAGTGAAATTACAATAAAGCACACTGAAAATAGTGTGATTTAATTATTGAGGCCCCTATATTAAGCCGTTCGTCTGTGGTGCTTGGATGCGAGTTGATCTGAGGGATGAGTTTTGCATTCGGGAGCCGTACGTGCTCGCACGGGTTCCTGGCCTCAACCTTCGCAGAGGCCTAGTTGTTCAATTTGGGCCCCAAACCATAAACCCTAAACCCTGAAGGGAAGAACCATGTTTTTGTTTAGAAAGCTTTTGGGCCCAACCCAGCCCAAAGACTGTACAGCCCGCAAGCACCTGGAAGCCCTAACTACTAAACCTCGAAGTTTAGGGTTTAGGGTTTGAGCCTCTGCCTTACCTTTAAGCCCCGAGCCGTAAAACCGTTTCTTGCTGAGAGGTTTGGACCCACATTTGCAACGCAAGCGTCGGGGCGAGGATGTTACAATTGTCGTGAGCGGGCCCCTGGGCGTTTTAGGGTTTAGGGTTTAGGGTTTAGGGTTTAGGGTAGATGGAACGGGACGTGGTTTAGGGTTCTATACGAGGGTCCCTTTCAGGACTATAACCCTAAACCCCAAAAGCCCTAAACCCTACATAGACCCTAAAACCCTAAACCCTAAAGCCCTAAACCCTAAACCTCAAATAGGGTTTAGGTTTTAGGGTTTAGGGTTCAGGGTGCGGCTTTATAGTCATGGGGCCTAAAGACCTGGCAACAATGTTCCGTTGGGCTTCCTATCATACTTGTGTATCGTACTGATAACTTAGGATTTTGGGTTTAGGAATTAGGGCCTGGATCTAGGGTTAAGGGTTTAGGATATTTGTGTAATGTAGGGGCCTAAATAAATACCAATACTATTTTGGGGGGTTCCTTAATATATTTGTAGTGTAAAGGGCACCAAAACCCTACTCTAATTATTGAGGCCCTTATATGATCGTACTTATAACAGACGCCACAACACCGTTCTCAGGGTTTCAGGTTGTCGGGCTTTGCGGCTGGTTCTCCGGCGCCGGGGTTTCTAGCGTGGTTGGCTTTGAACTCCACTTTCCTTGCGAGTTGGAAAAATTCGGTAAGCGATAGCATCCCACAAGGTTACATGTCCGAAGTGTCTGTGTTCCATACTAGCGAGTTCAATACCACGGTCAGTCAGCACACAAAGTGCAGAACTGGAGAAGCGGAGGCATGCCAAAAGTTCACAGACGGGTCGATCATGCCTGCAGGGGTTTGTGTTTTCTTCAGACATCAGTAAAGTTCGACCCAGAGAGCCCAATACCCCTTAAATAAGGAATATACCTTACATTCTAGGGGCCTTAATATGATGGTTTAAGGTATTACTCCTTAATCAAGGGGTAAGTTGGGCTCTCTGGGGAGCCATTTAGAAGTCTTCTAAGTATTCAGGCCCCCGATATCACAGCAGCTCTAGAGTTCAGCGTTTAGGGCCAGTTCAGGGTAGAATATGCCCCAAACCCTATTCTAATCATTAAGGCCCCTAAACCCTAAACCCTAAACCCAAAACCCTATTCTATTCATTAAGGCCCCTAAACCCTAAACCCTAAACCCTAAACCCTATTCTCTTCATTAAGGCCCCTATATTACATGATTGTCTCAAGCCCTGGACCCTAAACCTGTAAACCCGACCTTAAATCTTAGACCCTAAACCTTAAACCTGAAGCCCGAAACCCTTAAGCCCTAAACCTATACCCAATACTACCCAATACCCTAAACCCTAAACCCTAAACCCGATTGGCCCACCGCGACGAGGTGCGTGGCACAGCAGGAGGGTGAGGCCGTGCTCAGCGCGATCCCCGAGGCGCATAGGGTTTGGGGTATAGGGTTTAGGGGCCTTAGTAGTTAGAATAGGGTTTTGGGGTTTAGGGTTTAGGGTGCAGGGTAGGGGCCAGAATGATTAGAATAGGGTTTTTGGGGTTCCTTGATTTAAAGGGCTCCTTAAAGGGTTCTATAAGGGCTACTATAAGGGTTCAGGGTATAGGCATATCTTGGTGTTCTTCTGGTTGGCTCTTAGGACTTTAATTTTTTGGATTCCTATATGAAGTAGAATAAGGAGACTAAAAGTTTAACTTTTTGGAGGGGTTCAGAAGTCAGCCAAGATATAGGGGCCTGAATGGTTAGAATAGGGGTTCCTTTTAAGGGATCCTTAAAGGGTTCTATAAGGGATCTATAATAGGGTTCTATAATATAAGGGCCAGAATGATTAGAATAAGGTTTTGGGGTATATAATACTACAAAAATAATAAGGAATCCCCAAATAATCTAGGTAATTATTAAGGCTTCTATATTAGACGGAATGCGCAGTGTCGCGAGACTTTTTGCACACTCGTGTTGGAGATTTGGAAGCTCTGTGCCTAACTGGTTCCTGGTACTAGTCCTGGGCAGGGCGGTGTAGGGTTTAGGACTTCGGGTCCAGCAGTTTGGTGTCAGGACGGGGTGTGCTGTGGTAAACGGTTGGATATGAGAAGCAGTTGTCGTGGTCGTCTTCGCTGTGGTGGCAGTGGTAGTGCTGGGTATGTTGCGAGTCGTATTCGTGCTAGTAGTCGTGACACAGCCGCGCCGAGCTCTGACTAAACGGTAATTGCACATGCAGCAACAGTGCAATTATAGGCTGAATAGTTTTAATTGTATGTGGAAGCGAAGTTAGGACATGCATCACCATTACTATCGTTATGTTACTGCTGCTTACGCGTGGCACTTCTGTCGTGGTCGCGAGCGAGATGTACATCTGTAAAACCGAGGGCAGCGACTTGTTTGAAAGCTGGGAAGTAACTGAGCTGCAGCACAGCGCCCCAGAAACAGAAAGCCCTTCTCGCAATCACATTGGGAGATGCACGCTAAACTACTTGATACAGCTCAACTACGAATTTGTTTGACCAGGGTCCCTACAAAATAGTGGGTCAGGGTAAGTGTTAGAACAGGGTTTGGCGCATGTTGTGGTATGGTTAGTTATAGGCTATCAAGGGATAGAGCCAGTTACTAGCACCTAGAGAACCTCTACACTTAAGCAAAACCGAAGAAACCCCAAAATATACTTCCAAGACTCTCTGCAACTACAAAAAGACCCTGTGAAACTCCGAAGTGAAGAGCGAGGTCGACGTCGTGGTCGGGCCGCAGTATGCCAACCGCCTGGCGGATGTGCTCAACGAGTCGTTGCAAGGCCAGGGGTTTAGGGTTTAGGGTTTAGGGTTTAGGGTTTAGGGTTTAGGGTTCAGGTGCAGGGTTCGTAAAAAAAAAAAACAGTGTGGCTATCAGGGTCTCGCATGGCTTCTATGGTTTTGACAGCGCTTGAGGTGGTGTTGCGACGGTTTTGATTGTAGGGCCTCAGAGTCTTTTGTCATTGTACCGGCTTGCTAGTTTAAGCAATGCTTTTGTCTACGAGGGCCCTTTCTGGACACGTTTAATATAGGGGCCTAAATCATTACCAATACTATTTTGGGCGCTCCTTGCTATACCTATAGTAGAATGGGCCCCCAAAAAGCCCTATTCTACTTATCAAGGCCCCTAAACCCTAAACCTTATAGTAGCCCTTATAGTAGCCCTTATAGACCCTTTTCAGAACCCTTTAAATGAACCCTATTCTACTTATCAAGGCCCCTACATTAAACATTTGAGGTCCATGGTAGGGTCTTGGGTTCGGGGTGCGGTTTAGGGTTTAGGGTTTAGGGTGATGGTTTAAGGCCCAATGAGCCGCGGCAAGGCCAGCTTTTTGGAACGCACTCGGCCGGAATCATAGTAGTGCGACCCTCCTTCCATAGGATAGCTTGTGGGGCCCGTTTTCAATAGAGCCTCCCCAACAGCTCGTGTCTTATTTGGCTTGTCATGAGGGTTCATAAGGTTTCTGACAAGGGGCTGGGGGCTTGACGGGGGCAGCGGTGGGCGTGTGAGCGATTGAGATTTTGACCGTGGGGATTGGAATGTTTCATGACGGTAGGCGACTTTCCCATCTAAACCTAAACCGCCTAAACCCTAAATCCCTAAATCCCTAAATCCCTAAACCCTAAACCCTCCTTCCAAAATTCTTTCTTGTGGCACTGCATGAGGCGGGCAGATCTGTGCGACGGCTGATGCCCGAATCATGGAGGATGTGACGATGCCAAACAGGCCGGGTTTGGGTTTTTGGTTCGGGTGGCGGTTTGGGGTTTCGGGTTTAGGGTTTAGGGTTTAGGGTTTAGGGTTTAGGGTTTAGGGTCTAGGGTCTAGGGGTCTAGGGTTTAGGGTTTGGTGGGTTTGGGGTATAGGTTCGGGTGGGTCCTTATGCTTCACGAGCACATGACATGAATCATGATCATATAGAACACGAGCAAAAGTTTCGCTTCATAGTCCCTATATACGTCTAATAAGTACAACATGCACATACACCGGGACCAAATCTTCAGTATTAAGCACCCTAAAGTATCAATCCATTCGCCCTTTAAGCCAAGCTCTAAACCGCATCAGATATTTAGCGATCGTCCCTGAGGCAGTCGAGCACTTCTGCATGGGTCAACGTGATCTACGGCTGCCGTCGCCTTAGTTCTTCAGCCCTAAACGGCTCTCCTCAGAATGCCCTTCAACTTCTCTACACCCATAACCCCTAAACCCTAAACCCTAAAACCCTAAACCCTAAACCTCCATAAGCCTCCCAACCTTGAACTAAAGCTTGCAACCCTTACCTGCATAATATCGGGGCCTGAATAATTAGAACAGGGCTTTGGGGTATATTATGCTACAGTTATAGTAAGGAATCCCCCTATAGCAAGCCCGCAACCCCAAACTGGCCCTAAACGCTGAGCTCTAAAGCTGCTGTAATATTGGGGCCTGCAAAATTAGAAGACTTCTAGGTCCCTAAACCCTAAACCCTAAACCCTAAACCCCTAAACCGCTAGATGAGTGTGGATCCCCAGAGGGTCCATGTACAGCGCTGTGATGGAATTGGGTCCCAAAAGACCATCCCTATTATGGGTTTTGGGTTTAGGGTTTAGGGTTTAGGGTTTAGGGTTTCCCTATTATGGGTTTTGGGACTTGAATTCCCTAGTGGCCCTAGTGGTAGTGTATGTGGACCCTATGGGATCTTGAAATATCTGTAAGACCACCCAAAGCCCAAAACAACCTTTCAAGCAAACACGGTTGCGATTTTAGGGTTTGGATCTTGAAACAGAAGACCACCAAACGCCCAAAACCACCTTTTTAGCCAAAACCATACTTTCGTGGCCACCTCAATCCTTTAAGCACGGCTTCAGGGTTTGGGGGCTCCAGCGGGTTCAAGGTTTATAGGGTTTGGTTTTGGGTTCAGGGTTTAGGGTTCGGTTCATGGTTTGGGGTTTAGGGTTTAGGGTTTGGGGTTTGGTTTACGGTTTGGTTTGGGGTTTAGGGTTAGGTTTACGGTTTAGGGTTCAGGGTTTGGGGGAATTTAGGGCTTAGGGTGTCTCCAAGGACTCAGGGCTCGAAGGCTTGCCTGCCGACTTTATTGAGCAGCAGAGACACCTCGACACGCCTGGACTCCGGCACAGAAAGCCTGAACGCATCAATCGTAAATGCTTCAACAAAAAGTTTCAGGTTTTATAAACCCTAAAACCTATGCCCCAAGCCCTAAACCCTGGACCCTGCACCCTACACCCCCACTTAAGTGCTCCAAGAAGTCTGAAATTTTTGGTTTCTCGAATGCTTGCCCGAGTTTCATGGCCATAACAAACACCTCGACACGTCTAATCTCCCATCCGGCGCAAACCCTTTAACGACTAATTCCACTAAACCTCATAGTCACGCACAGAAAGCGTCAACCCAGCAACCTCAAATGGTTCAACACGAAACTGAAGTCGTAAAGTTCGGGTTTCCCGAGAGTCTAAAGGCATGGAGTAAAAGTCTTTCGTTCAGGATTCCTGGGTAGGGACTACAGAACTTGTCAAGCTTGCAACCCTAAACCCTAAAACCCTAAAGCCTAAAACCCTAAACCCTAAAGCCCTATTGTCCAGAGCTCTAGTAACCGAAAACCACAAATTCTAAACCACAACTCTCAAAAACCTACTCCCTAAATCCTCAATCCTAAAACTCTAAACCCAAACCCCTACAACTCTAAACCCCAAACAGTATTCAAAAGAACCGAACGCCGGAAGCTTAGGCAACGAGCGTTGCTCCTACTGCGTCGTCCCTGCCACACGCGGCTCTGAGCAGTCGCGGCCTATGGAGGCCGTGAAGCGGGAGGCGCAGGGGCAACAGGGTTGAGGGTCCAGGGGGGTTAGGGTTTAGAGCTTTCAAGTTTTAGGGTTAAGAATTTCGGCTGAATTAGGTGTTTCACGTCAAGAGAAGTGTTCTGTAGCAGTGCAGCAAGCTGGCCAGTTTGTACTGGCATTCGACGTTCCCTGGGAGATATGATCTAGTGTGGGAACTGCAACTTTACTGGCAGGTCGCGCAGCTGACTTCCGAGGGCTATCGGGAGGTCACCCTCCTAGGCCGGCGCAAGCTCACCCTAAACCCTAAACCCTAAACCCTAAACCCCTAAACCCTAAACCCTGTGCCTGTTTTTCGCAGACTGACATCTTCCTCTCAGGGACTACGTGTTTAGGTGTTTACTTAGTTAATGTCAAACTCTAGACCCAAACTGGAAGCACGCAAGCCTAAGGCCTAACTACAACCCTAAGGCCCTAATCTTGGGTTCAGTGGGACAGTGAGAGTGATTGAATGGTGAGGAGACTACTTATGGTATAGTTCTACTTACATAGAACCCAATCCATCAAGTCCATGAGTTACGGAAATATTATACTCAAACTAAACCCTAAGCCTGAACCCTAAACCCTAAATCCTAAACCCCTAACCCTATATTGTCCTCAAACTAAAGGCAGCCCCTTCTTCAGGAAAGATAAGAGACTCGCCCCTTAATTAGGGATTATACTTTAAATAAATCATACATAATATTAAAGCCCTAGGCCCTATAACTTAAAGTATAGTCCTTAATTAAGGGGTTTGGGGCTCTTGTACTAGGGTGACAAGCAGGCCAAAACATCGACGCCTGGGGCAGGGACCTCGCCCCCAGGAGGCCCGAGACGATCTTGTCGTTCGATTTTTTCGGAGGGTTAAGGAGCACTACCATTGTGGATATAGGCCCCCCCCAAAAAAACATGCTAATCATGATTGCGGAGGGGGAGGGGGGGGGGGCTAATTCCACAATAGTAGTGTGTATGGACCCTCTTGGTTAAAGCGCACAGATCACGGATCAGCAAGATTGCTACGACCAGAACAACAGCCGGAAGACCAAGTCCTGTGGCCTGAATACGATTCCCATGACCCACCCTAAACCCCCAAACCCCATGAAACTATAAACCCTAAACCCTAAACCCATTCCCCCAAGCCCTGTTCGAATTATGCAAGCCTCTGTGTTGGTATTTTCTGGAGTTGGGCTTTGGGGCTTCTCGGGAGTACAGTCTTTTACGGGCTTGGTGCTTTGGGTTTTTGCGCTTGGATTAGTTTACTCCTACGTAGGGTTTTTCATAATTCGAATTTCTCGCTCTGCTCCCCCCAGCTTATTTGCCACTGAGCCTTGCCACGGAGCACCCTGGTCCAACATCAAGGTATGTAATGCCTTTGAGTTTACTTGTTGTCACCAAAGCAGACCGTTGGCATGCCTATGTTTGGGCTTCAATGCCGTAGGATGAGGTTAAAACAGCCCGTTCCTGCAATTGAAGCCTTCTTCTTTATCAGTGAGGCTTAAGGAGGCTTCTTTGGTATGTTGGCAGCCTAGGCCCTCAAGCGCTCCGGCCACAAAACCACGTGTAGTCTGACTGTTCGCGAGCACCCCTTGGCGCGGTCACACCGGAAACGGCAAAGCCTGAGGCTCACGATTGAGCCCTTCGTGCCAAAGCCATGTTGAAAGAACCATACATTCCAACCACCGTTGCCTGAGGCCCTCAGCCCTACACATGTTAAAGTCCACACCCACAATGCCCTATGGAGGAAGCCTGTCTCAATAATGGCATAGAGCCTTGCTGTAATATAAAAGCCTAAATTATTACCAATCGTAAATTGGGGGTTCCTTATTGCAAAAACTATGGTATAATAACCTTATTCTACTGAGTAAGGCTAAACCCTCAACATCCCTAAACACTTGCAATTATAGTAGCCCCTGTAGTAACCCTTATGGACCCTTTTTAAGAACCCTTGAAAGGAGCCCTATTCTAATCATTAAGGCCCCTACAGTAGCACCTTTCAAAAGGAGCCAGTTCCTCGGCGAAGGTTCAAACTGGGTAAGGCATAGGGGCCTTAATAATTAGAGTAGGGTTCCTTTACAGGGTTCTTAATTAGGGTCTACAAGGGTTGCTATAACGGCTACTATCAGGGTTTAGAGTTTAGCTCTTAATAACTAGAATAGGCTTTTGGGGGGTAAATTATGCCATAATTATAAAAATACGGGACCCCCCAAACAAAAAAACACAACAACATAATACAGAAATTATTTAGGCCCCTATATTAATCACCCAGACCACGGATGAACCCAACAAATCGCGATTGCAAGGCTGACGATACCCCACGTTCACCCAAAACCCCCAACAACAATTACAATCCAAAAACCCAAACCTTGAAGCTTTAAAAGCCCTAAAACCTTAACCCTAAACCCCCAAATCTTAAAGCCTTAAAGCCCCTAGAAACCGTTCTAAAGAAGGACCTTCAAAGCCCTAGAAACCCAAGCCTTAAAGCCTTAAATGCCCAATCAACCAAACCCCTAAACCCTAAAACCCTAAACCCTAAACTCCCAAAGCCCTAAAGCCTAAACCCTAAAACCCTTCAAGAAGAGAGCGGCCGGAGGAACTTCGCCGAGCTGCTCCGCTACGTCGGAGATGCGGCCGGCCTCGCGAGGCTTCGATTCCTCACCTCGCACCCAAGGCCGGTTTAGGGATCTAGGAGTTTAGGGTTTAGGAGTTCAGGGTTTAGGGTTTAGGGTTTGGGGATCTAGGAGTTTAGGGTTTAGGGTTCAGGGTTTAGGGCTTAGGGTTCTGGATTTTGGGGTTTAGGGTTCAGGGTTTTGGGGTTTAGGGTCTGTAATGGTTCCTCACCTCGCACCCAAGGCCCGGGCCGGAGTTACTTTGGGTTTTGGGATCTAGGGTTCAGGAGTTTAGGGGTCTAGCAGTTCATGGGTTTAGGGGCTAGGAGTTTTCTGGTTTAGGGTTTAGGGATCTGGGAGTTTAGGGTTCAGGAGTTTAGGTGTCTAGGAGGTTTGGGTTTAGGGTTTAGGGGTCTAGGAGTTTAGTGTTTAGGAGTCTATATAGGGGCTTTTGGGTTGAAGTTTCAGGGTTTGAGGAAATTTTCGGGGTCTATGATGGGGTTCAATTTGGGTTTGAGACGGGTAGAGTTTCAAGAGTTTCAGAATTTTGGGGTCTGCAATGGGGTTCAACTTGGGTTTAAGATGGTTTGAGTTTCGGGAGTTTGAGGGAACTTTTGGGATTTGTAACGTGGTGCAACTTGGTGTTAAGATGGTGTGAGCTTCAGGCGTTTTATGGCCTTTTAGGGTTTGCAGTGGGGTTCAAGGTTTAGGGTTTCTGGCTGAGGGTTTAAGGGTTCACAATGTCCAGGAGAAGAGCTCACAACTGCAAGGGGGTGAGGGCGTCAGTGTTTGATGGTTGGAGGACCCTCGAAACAGGTTCGGTCACTCTAGCTCGCTGAACGCGCTCCTGTTCTGAGTCTAATCCTCAAGATTCGAGACTCAGGTACATCTCAGATGAGCTCATCCACACTGTTCGAGTGCCCTAGCTGCAGCAAGAAACAAACCCTCTGGAAGGCATTCGGAAAGCATCGATAGAGCCAAGGATGTCGATGCAGTGTGCGAGCAATTTCACATCCCGCACCTTTGCCGCAAATTCTAGACGAGTAGCTAAAGTAGACGACAGTGCCTTTAAAGGCTTCACCATGTAATGGCATTGGTTGTCCTGGGTGGCGCATAGGCGTGAGACTGCAATTGGGTTAGGATTTCAGAATTTCGCTTTGTGTTCAGGGTCTATGGGCCCTTAACCCTGGGACCCTAATATACCTACTATATATACCCTATATATATATATACCCTTAAGGGACCCTAGAATCCCCTAAAGGCCCATGTTAGGGGCCCATGGGT